GAATATTAAGGTAACTGCACACGCAGGAGAGTTTTGAAATGAAATGACTCAAACCACTGTGTGCGTAACCAGCCTGCCTCGACCCGCCGGATCATGCTCAAAGAATCACTCAGCACACACACGCGGGAATAGTCCTGTGATTCTAGCCACATGAAAGCTTGTGTCACAGCCAGTGTTGCCACTTTTCTTTGACAAAAAAGATCCAAAACGGGGTTAAAAAATATCTAAAAAGATCTAAATTTGCGTGGAAAATATTTAAATAAAATATCCAAATGAAAAGAGTCACAAATTACAAAACTATTGAAATGACTTACCCTATAGACACATGTCCTCATCTTCACTGATGTCTGCTTCACAAGATCCACATGATAAATTTAGCTTGGGTGATGAAGTTGAAGCTTCAGATCCCAAATTACTCTGGTATGCTTTAGCTGTTCCTATTTCTTTTAATACACAATCAGGAAGCTGATAAGTGGAACAGCATTTTCCTACTCTCATCAGGCCAAACTTTATTGTCAAGATAGCATTTAAGAGGTCTAATTTAATCCTGTTTCTTAGGTTAGATTTGATGTAATTCATAGCACTGAAAACTCTTTCTACGTCAGCATTTGAGTGGGGTAGTATCATGGCAGACATGGCACATTCAAAGAGTTTACAGAATGGACTGTTTGATGAGGCATCTTTAAATTGTCTCACTTCACTCCAAAACGCTTCAGTTTCTGTTTTGTTTGTCCATTCAACTAAGTTTATTTTGGTTAACTGATATTCTGCTTCCGCGACACTATTGTCAGTAGCCCCTAAAAATGTCATAACTTTACAATATTTAGGTATGTCCTTTACTGGCTGAAGTATGTTGCTCACAGAAAAGAGTGAAATATGTTTCAATACATCTAGATTTTCAGGAAGTCTCTGCATTAGTTGCCTGAACAATGAGATAAGGAAATCTTGACATCGTTTTCTTAAGTTGTTCTCTTCATTCTCTGTTAACAGTCCTTTTGTTTTTAAATCATCAATTTTTGATTCAATTTGATATCCAAGGTATGGCTTAGGAGCCAAATAGCTCTCTATAGTGCAAGTGAGCAAATCAACTTTTGAAGTTGGCAACACCAGTCTTTTACCAACTGAGTAAAATAGCAAAGTGAGATCGTCAAGTAATTTAACTTTATCAACATGTTTGGATTCGAACAGTTTATTAACTTTTTGCACTTCCATTAGAATAGGTTGTAAAAAGAGAAGGAATGCCAAATTTTTTTTATCACTGTACATTTCATATAGTATCTCAGCTGTGTAGCACTTTTCACTTTGTCTTATTATTTCAAAGTGTGTCTTTAACTCCAACCATTGGTTCAGAATTCTTTCAACAGCTGGTTGTATTGATAACCACCTGGTTTTGCAATCTGACAGAATTTTCAGTGGTGTGGAACCATTATTTAAGGCTGAATACAATGCATTGTATTGCTGTTGTCTGACAAATGATTTTGAAAACCAGTTATGTGTTTCAGCAATAAGGTATTCCAAATTCCTTGGTAAACATTCAGATGAAGCATGTGATAATGCTAGCTGCAATGAATAACACATACATTTTATAAGTATTAACGATGGGATAGCTTCCTTCAACTTGGCATAAACGCCATTGTTTATGCCAACCATCACTGAGACATTTTCGGTACCAATTGCAACAAAATTTGTCAAGTCTAACTGTTTGCTGATTAAAAGGTTCTTCAGTTCTTGAACTATACTTTCTGCATCACACTTTTCCAAATTGAACTAGTCCAAGATATGTAGAAACTACTTTGTCTGTATTGTTGCTGTAATATATAATACACACACCAAGCACTTTCAGTACCGAAATATCATTTGATTCGTCTAATAATAAACTATATTTATTTGTAGAAATATCACTGATCAAATCTTTTTCGAAGTGAGAAAGTAAAGTATTCTTATAATATGTGTACACTTGCTGTGATGCATTTTCTCATCATCCATAACTTTACTGTCAGAAATTGTGTTTTTAAACAAATCAATCAAATGATCACAGTTTGAAATTGCACAATGGCAACTTAAAAACATTGCGACCGACCCTTCAACTTTTGATTATTCATTTATCAGTGTACTTCTGAAAACAAATGTCAGCGGTGTAATATCTTTGAATGGAACTGCAGTTTTATGCTTGTTAGTCTCTGCATGCTTCTTTAAGTCTTGTATTTTCGCTTTAATTTCACACTTGCAGTACTTACAACGAGCCTTGGTTATATAGCAGCGTATATCCCCAGGAACTGCCATCACCCAGACTTTAATTTTGTCATCATGCAAATACTCTTTCCGAAATCTTTGCTCATACTTTACTTTTGGCATGTTGAAAGGTTTTTTCCAAGTGAAAGCCACACAAGAAGGTAAGCAATTATTTTTTTTTAAATCACATGAAAAAGAAACACAAAGTCAGCATCACAGCTATACTTCATAACACAGTGAGGATACGGTTGAAACAAAGTTAGTATGATTTACGCGCGATTTCGATTAATCAGCACCGGGGTTGTCAGATATTTGAGTGTTGACCTTAGTGAGATTTCAAAGTTTAAGTAATGGCAGTTGCCACAATGTACGTGCCAGACCAAAACAAAAATATTTTATAAATATTTTACTCAATAATTATTAAAATGACACTAAAAGAAAAAAAATCTATAAAATATCTAACTCCATATGAAAAGAATCTAGAAAAATATTTAGTATCTAAACGTCAAAAACAGGATCTAAACGCAATGAAAAAGATCTAAATTTGGATACAAAAGATCCAAAGTGGCAACACTGGTCACAGCCATCACCTCCGTCGTCATGCTGCTGGTGGTCATGGAGAAGGCACCGCTGGCTTCTTGAACTCTTCTGCCTGACGAGCGAGCTGTAAATGCCCATGCATTCCTATGTCCTCGTATAATAGAACCGTCTGTAAAGATCACTAGTCAATAGTTATAGCTACCGACACAGTTTCATAATTCCGATATACCAGGTTCCAAAGTCAATGATTTAAAAGCAGGCCACTTTTCGTTGTTGAGCAAAGCTGAGTCAAGAATTGACATCACAGCACTCAAGGCATTGCTATGAGGGCTCTATCCTCATCTTCAGCAGCCAACGCAGAGTTCTAATATTGATGGTACCGGTCACAATCTTGTTATATGTCCGTCTTGCATTTTCTCTGAGTATAGTGAGTCGGCCAGACCCTCTGGTTACACCCAGGAGACTCGTTCTCCCCAGGCCATAGTAATCTTGTTTCTCTACTGATTCCGTTTCTTGTTCCCAAAGGGCCTTGACAACATCTGCCTTGTCATGTATCAACTACGTTAATTTTAACAAAGCTATGAGTTTCGAACCGTAAAATGCACAGTAAAGCCAACAATCAGCCAGCGGATACTGGGGTTGGTAGAAACACGCCCTTCTCTAATTATTCTAAAAATCTAGAGCTGGCCGTGGTAGAAAACAGGGGCACCATCAGACAGGACAGAAAACATACGGGAATATCCGGAGACCTGTGTAGCAGCAGAGCGTAGCAAAGGGCTTGCGCTGGGATCAGGCTGCGCTAGGTGTCATCACTGAGAAGGGGCTGGGGTGGGTGGGGGGAGGGGGGGGGGGGGTGGGGTGTGTGTATAAAATTGAAAAAAACGTGTATTTGTTTTTAACATACAAAAATGTGTGTGAATGTGTGTATGTGTAGGGGGTGACGGTATATTTTCTTAAGCGGGCACCATCTGCCCTTACTACGCCATTGCTGTGATGTCTATTCTTAATTCAACACATCATACGACCCCCACAAGGCGAGAAAAATTGTTGAATTATATTGCCGCCGATACCAATCAATAATGACTTGTGTATTCCGACTGTAGCATAATTAGAAGTTTAATAAATGGTTTAAGGCGATTCCCACCCATATAACGTGACTAGCTACACCGAAGACTGTGTTGAGAAGCAGGAGAAATCCTCGGGGTTTCATAGCAAAAGCGAATTGGCGTCGCTTAGTACAACAAAGGGTGGTATATGATATTATTGCATCTAGTCTGAGAATGGGGGTGGGGGTAAAGGCATTCTGTCCGCCTGTTCATTTTTCAACACCACGGCTTTACCCGGATATTAAAAGAAAAAAAAAATCAAGATAATTCTCTTCACCCGCGACTCCCGAAGCAAAGCATACCACTCTGCAGGAAGATGCCCGTCCTAGACTTCATCGGTATGCTTTCTGAGTCAGTTACAATCACGATTTGTGTATGGATCATGTTCTCTAGCCAGCGAGAAGCCGCATTGCCCCCCCCCCCAACCTCCATTATTAAGCTGGATGTTGTGGTATCATATGCTAGGCTCTCCTGCATCATCATAATTGGAACTATGCGCTTACTGGTAAAGATGTGGACGGAACGCTTATGGGAATATATACTGAGTGGTATGATATCGGTTTATAACTCATCGCAACTGTAGCCATGGTTATATTTAGACATTCCAACATAATAAACAGACAGTGTCTTGATAGGCACTCATAGGGTTCCCCCATCTGTCTATTTGTAGAAATCCTTATGACGGCCGTGGTGTAGCATGTCGGAACAACAACCTAAATATAAATTAATGGTTTTCCCGAATAATTATGCCAACTGCAGTTGCAAGAAGTAGCTAACCACATGATATAAAGTGGCAGGTTGCTAAGGACTAGTGATCCATAGCTTCTTTTAGCTGGCACACCTTCATATTTCGTAAAACGGCGCGGAACCTAGTCCATGTTTTACCTATTTCCTGGTTATACTTCCTGTAGAACTGTGTGGATTGTCTGCTGCTGGTCAAGTTGTTGGGATCTTATCAAGGCAGACGATCGTTTGTTAGTAGTTTTTGACCAGTAGTAGTAATTTTCACAAACATATCATGTTCTACCCGCAGGATTATAGTAGGATATAAAGTATTCATTGAGATTTTAAAGTATCTACATAACTAAACTGGAACAAGTGAATTATTCCTCATCTTAAGAGATGAGCACTGACCAGCAGGCAGAGAGAGGAACATGGAAACAGAAACAAGTTCTCGGACAAGGTGGATTTGGAACTGTAGAACTTTGGTATAATGAGGTAATGTGTATTCTTCTTCTTCTTCTCCTCCTCCAGTATCAGTACTCCCTTTTCTGCTTCTTTACTAGCTCCCCCCCCCCCCTCTCCGCCTTTCAACTCCTAGTCTTCCACAGGGTACAGAGAGAAAGAGCCCTGTGTCCTGGAGAAAATATGTCTACAGTAAATATGCTTCCTACAAATAAAGGCATACATGCTAAAGTTTGACACACTGTCTTTACTGACTTCTGAGTTCAAGAGTGGCTTTAACTCTGTGTCACACACTTCTGTGTAAAGCAGTGGTCTCCAACCGCAAGGGGTGGGGGGCCATACCCCCTTAGGGGGTGCGAGGAGGTTTCAAGGGGCAAGTCAAGCAGTTTTGAAAATGAGTCCACTCATACTTAGAAAAATCTCTCATGAGAGCACATATATTTTGTTTTAGTTTGATTGTAAATAAAATAAGAAATTTTAAACTTTTAAATGAAATGACAAAACATTTTTTTTTCATGGGCAGTTTGTACAAATACTGTTAAAAATATAATTAATGTGATAACACACGTATTTAATTATAAATAAAGAACACATTCTGAACATACTTTCTGTTTCTCTTGTTGCCGAATCTGTTGTCCTCTTTTTAATCACATTTTGTTATGTTGGGTTGGGGGAAAGGGGAGGGGGGGGGGGTGGGGGTGTCTTACAATATATTCAAGGTTGAAAAAGGTTGGAGACCATTGGGTAAAGTAACAACAAGTTGTAAAGTATTTCTTTATTTTGTCAGAACATCAGTACATTTGACTGGTGGATTCTCATGAAACCTATAACACTTATATTAAAACTTCCATAAACAGGTGTCAGCAGTTTTCAACCAACTGTAGACTGTATCATTTGTAATTTTAACAATCATGAAGTATCTTTTTTACGGCTGTTACTAAAATTACACTTGTTTAACACTTTATTCTGTAGAAAGCTCAAGAGCATATAGCCATAAAAAAGTGCAAGTTGAAGAATGATATGCCAGAAAAGATGTGGGATCGTTGGAAGATGGAAGTCTACATAATGAGCAAGCTGAACCATGAAAACGTCATCAAGGCTGTGCTAGTTCCACCTCAGCTGGAGCCAAATTCAGGGGAGCCCCCAGTCCTGGCCATGGAGTTTTGTGAAGGTGGAGATCTCAGGAAGGTAAATGTTTGAATGTGTGAGCTGGGTTGAGCTTTGTTTATTTGTCATGTCTGACTACCACAAGGGGTTGAATGTCAGTCAGTTTGATAGCACACTGCTTTGTGTATATTTCAACAATGATATGAGCATCGAACCATTCAGAAAGCAGTGGCAAACTACTGAATGTAAAATTGCTTTGAGGATCTGAGGAAAGTAAAAGTTAACATCACATCCATTGACCTGTTAGGGTCATGGAGGTGTATCGATGGAAGCACTAGCATGCAAAACCCGCCATCTTTCTCTGTCTTACGCTTGATGAATAAGTGTATGATAACCTAGTCCTGTCCATTTCTTGATCTTGTTTCTTCTTTGCCCTCCTCGTCTTTGACTTTGACTACCCTCCAGCATTCCTTGAAGTGCAGTCTTTGCAATCAAATCATGTCTCCCCACGTGTCTGAACCAAGCTAGCTTGCGACGTTTCACCACTGCCAAGAGGGGCTCCTGATGTCGTGCAAATTTGTATATTTTGTCCCTGACATTATTTCAAAACAATGTTTTCCCGTAATGAATTTAAATAATGCGGACACAAACAATTTATTGCCAGGCATATTTCGCTGTATCTCGTCAGGTGCGTTACTACAGAATTACATCAACATAAAATGAAGCACAAAACTGAATAAATCCAACTGAAATGCGAATAGTTTCTTTCGACACATCATGTGTATGTTTTGGCTGCCGGAAGCTCACCATAGTCACGTGACTTACCAGGGTAACTTAAAATTTACTATAAATTCCATCTGTTTATAAAGGAGGGAGTTGTTGATTTCAAGTGTTAAAGCTTCGGCAATTCTCAACAGTCTCCTGTTCAGTGATAAACCACATGGAAAGCACTGTCTGTGTCAATTATGTGTACGGAATTAAGTAGATGACGTCCTATGGAAGAAGCAGGTAATTTTTTCTTGACTGGTCTCGATACCCTTGAAGAATCACTGAGCTGTGTATGTAGCCATTTGGGTATGTGCTCTGCCACTCTATTTTCAAGCTGTCTCTCCATTGGACCGATGTAAGTCAACTGGCACTTACATGTAAATTGGTAAATACAACTGGATTTGTGGTACGAAGAAACAAGCTGTTTAATAGGTGGGGTTGGGATAGGAGTTGTCTTGTACCTCACTACTGGAACAGCTGCAAAGAATGTTTGGCCAACTGCTGTTTTCAGTTGGTCCTGCAGATACTGCATGACGTCATCACCTCGATAAGTCAGTTGGATAAATACTGGAAGTTTGGATACTGTAATTTCGTTCAGGGTAGGGTTGGGTCGGGTGCAGTGACGTTTAATGAAACCTATGGGGTACCCATTCAGTAGTAGAGTTGACTTGAGAGTTTTAATTTCTGCAGCCAGTGTGTCTTCGGTGCAAATCTTTCTGGCCCAGTTGAACAAGCTTCTAACTACGCCACGTTTGTATTGAGTAGGTGCAAAACTGTAAAGGTTTAGGTACTGGCCGGTCCATGTTTCTTTTCGTTACACTGATCTTTGGATACTGCCATCCTCTCCATGTGCAGTAAGTACATCAAGGAATGGTAAAGAACCGTCATGGTCATGTTGTAACGATAATGTGATGTTTCTGTGTGACTGGTTCATAGTGGTATGGAACGTAGTGGCTTGCTGCTTGTTAGCAGTTATTATTAGAATGTCATTGTGTGCGGCTTTTCTTTGAGATTAATTTTGTTATTCCTTTTGTTTCCTGTATAGGTTCCTGGGTCCCTTTGTGGGAGAAGAAAAGGACAGACCAACTATCTCTTCAACAAGCATAACGTAAGAGTCAACTAATTAGGGGTTTACTTCGAAGTCGGAGTGCGTCTGCCTGAGAGGCAAAGAACTGACAAGCTGCATACAGATAAGCAAGGTCTGTAGAACGGATGTGCTTGCAGAATTAAGTTCTAGAACAAGGCGATAAGTGAAAGAACAACCAGAACTTACTGTCGCAGTTTAAAACCAGTGAAAAAGAAAAAGAAAAGATTTATGTTGCAAGATATTTTGTTAGCTGATGTGGATTTTGGTTGGAAGATTTTTCTGCTGACCTTCCTAGTTACATTTTGTGCTAATTAATTAATTAGGTCTATTGACTACAGCACTAACTCTATTCCCTCTACCCCATCTTCGATCTCAGTTGTGTCAGTTGAAAAGAAAGTCTCTGCAGAAAGTCTGTGTTTTTTGGACATGTGAGAAGGAATGGACTTGAGAACTTCGAAACAACTGGTAAGATTCATTTACAAAGAGTAAGGGGAAGGCAGATGAAATAAATGTCATGATGGCTAAGCCATATAGATGGAGCAAGACAAGAACAATGACCTGATCCATCATTCTGATGATCGTGTGAGATATCGAAACATGACAGCCTATGTTTATTGGCATGATGATGATGATGATGTCATTTGACGATGAAGCATGTGTGTTGTACCTTTTAACTGAACACCTGGTTTATTCTCATTCATACCCATCAGATTCTCAATCTGCCAGACAACTGCTATGGTTTACCAGAAAAGGAAATCAGACAGTTGGTGACAGGTGTAGGAAGTGCGGTGGAGTATCTTCACAGCAATCGCATCATTCACAGAGATCTGAAGCCTGAGAACATTGTCCTGAAACATCTCGATGACAACAGGGTAAGTTCTTCTTCTTCTTCTTCTTCTTGTGTTCGCTTTCTGATTTACACTGACAGACAAGTTCTTGTGATAAACTTGACTGTTTTTAGGAGTTAGCTTTTAGTTCCATACAACTTTGAGAACATGTTATACATCCTTGCATTGCTGACTATTGCAGATAGGCTAAAGGTGCTGCAGGCTAAGTCATACCTCAGAGTAGCTGCAGATAAAGAGCACCTTCTGTATGAAGCTTTGGATGCAGTTAAGCGTCAGAGGCTGAAAAGGGGAAAATGGATGGCTCAGGCAGAAGACACAATAAGACAAGTATGCATGCTAAAGAATATTAGGCGAGTAAAGGAGGGGGTCAGAGTACCAGAGGAAAAGTCTCTGTATAGGGTCATGATCACATTAGGCTTTGAGTACTGAGAGTGGCCAGCGGGGACAATTGATTCACGACAGTTCTCGTCTAGATGATCTGGTTATCTACACAGATGGTTCTGTATCGAGAGGGAAGAGAAGTGTCTGGGGTTTGTTTCGTAGCGAAAGCCAATTAAAAATCTTTAGTGCAGGACAGCCTTGCATATGAAATCCACGACTTCTAGCGTGAGAATGGATGTGGAGGCGGTCACTGCAGCTTGCTGGTGGCTAGAGAACAAGATACATACGCATGTCGAAATTGTAAAGGACTCTGAAAGCATCCTGAAAAAGGTCAAGGAAAGATATCAACCCGAACAAAAAGTATATCAGCGAGCTTCGGATATAACAAATACAAACAAAACATAAACGTTGCAGCTATGGAGCCCTTATCAGCACATACACAAATTAGACAATATTACACAAAAACACAATATAACTTATCTTGGTATCTCGAAGCAGCCAGGTCGTTGTTCTAGCCAACAGACTCCTGCTGAAAAAGGTGAAGACAGGATTGCTTCGAGCAGGGTGGCAAGCTTTACTTGCAATGTCTGGGGTAGTGAGCATACTTTGGATCTTTTTTTTTTCCAGGTTATGCCGGCGTGGTGGGAAATGAACAGGCAGACAGACTGGCTGGATCTGCACCGCTTTGTGGTGAATTGATACATGACAAGGCAGATGTGGTCAGAGCCCTTTGGGAACAAGCAGCTAAGTCAGAAGAGAAACTAGATTATTATGGGCTGAAGAAAATGATACACTTGGGTGTGACCAGAGGGTTTGACCGGCACACTACGCTTAGAGGAAAGGCAAGATGGACATACAACCAGACTGGCACCATTAGTATTGGAAATCTGTGCTGGCTGCTGAGGATGGGGATGGAGCGCATATGGGAATGTCCTGAGTGCAGTGATGTCAATTCGTAACTCAACTTAACTTTGAGTACAGAATCAAAATGGGCTATACAAGGTGCATTCTTGCAGGAAATGTTCTGTAGTATAGGCACACAACCCACATGGGCACAGTGGTGAACTACTTAAACAAAGCCTGTGCATATGCTTGTTAAGTTTGTTAAGTCCTGTTCTGAGGCCTAGAATAATGACCTGCCCATGCCGGTCAAGTAAGGATTGGTCATCTCTGACCAGATTATGTTTACTTCTGATATATTGGATGGCCCTTTTCTTCTCAACATATGTTACTGCATTCTCTTCCTGTTCACATTCTACCGCTTTTTTAGCAAGTTTATCCGTGGTTTCATTTCCTGGTGTACCTCAGTGAGATGGCACCCACTGGAGTACAATACGCTTTTTAACAGCCACCTTGCTAAGTTGAGATCTCAGGTGATGGAGTTTACCAATCTTTGGGCCTTAGAGCATCAGTAACACATCTGTGAAGAAGACCTCTTGGTGGCAGTCATAACTGGTGTTGTGTAACATTTCGGCAACCTGCTCTAGTGCTAGAATCTCTGCTGTTTAATTGGAACAAAATTTACTAGTGGGTATATACTTTATGTGGCGATGATTATCTGGATATATGATAAAGATGCCAGTACCCCTATTTTTAACTGCACTGATTGCTGATCCATCCGTGTAACCATGTATCCACGACTATTCGGGATAGTTTTCCTGGATCATACTAGGAGCAGCTGATTGTTTATGGGGGTCACAAGACTTATCTCCAGCTGTGGGTCCATAGACTGAAGTCATTATCTGTATTGTGTCACTGAGTTGCTCCCAGGTTACAGGGTATATAGGGTAGATGTTGTTCAGCAGTGTGTTCTCATGGTTAGATCTGCTTGATACTATCTTTTAAGTCTCTCACACCCCCCCCCCCCCCCCCCCTTCTTTCCTGATGGACATAGCTGATACATTTGAGATGCCCCAATGGCAGATTATCTAGCCTTGCTTTCATTGGGTGGTTCTTTCATTGGGTGTGACTGCATACTATTAATCGTCTGCATCTGGATCATAGTTTTAATGTCTCTTCTATGAGACAGTGTCTGCATTGCAATTATTTTCTGCATCTCTAGGATTGGTGCAGTTTTCATGGATTCTATGATGAGTGAGGGTTCGATTTTGCACTCTGTCTAATGATTGTAGATGAGAGTTAGCAGCTGATGATCACAAGCTGTTGCACCAAACTCCAAGTGGGGTTCTTATCGCTCCATTATAAACTTTCTTTAGGGTTTTTACATTCACTCCCCAACTTGTAGCTGCCAGTTTTCTAAGTAGCTATAGCCATATATATTTTTATAAATTTTTAGAGAATGGATAAGTGACTTTCTTAATACTGTTTATCCAGGTACAGAGGATCTTGACAATGAAAATAATTTTATTTGTTTACAGTAACTTGTCTGGCACTGAGAAGTGTCTAACTGGTTGTCTGTTGAATTACACTTGTACCTTCAGTGCAGAGCTGTCACATGTTGTGTTGAATTACACTTGTACCTTTAGTGCAGAGCTGTCACATGTTGTGTTGAATTACACTTGTACCTTTAGTGCAGAGCTGTCACATGTTGTGTTGAATTACACTTGTACCTTTAGTGCAGAGCTGTCACATGTTGTGTTGAATTACACTTGTACAGCAGTTCTGCACTCTTATCATATAAATATCATTTGTTTGCATGCCAATGGATCGTTTGCTATAATTTTTCCTGTTGATATAGTGTAAAAAAAAAAAAAGTAAAGATCCCTTTTCACGCCTTTCGGCGCATCGGGCATATGGGCAGAGCGTCCCATATTTTTACAGACCATCAGCACTGTGGGTAATGTGGTCAGCATTACGCCAGCTGTCTTTACTTTCCCAGGACAGCCCATCCTGGAACCCATTTTAGGCTGGGTCGACCTGCGACCTCCCATACCACGACAAAAATCCACGCAGCCTGCAGTGGGTTTAAATCGCGGTATGCTGGCTTACGAGTCGGACTCGCAACGCCTTAGCCACGGACGCCGCTTGATATAGTGTGTGTTCTCTTTAATGCTAATACCTTCCTTTTCCAGTGATGAGCACAATCAAAAGCTATGAATATATTTTGTATGTTAAAGAGTCTGACCCAATATTTTAAATTAACTAAACTAAATTGTTTAATGCTTGTAAATGGTGTATTATAAGGCATTAGAGAAGATGAACACTGTAAAATCATTTTTTCAAAATTAATTTTCTAAAAATGAGTCCCAAAAATATTTTGAAATTCTTCTTTTTTTAAGTATAAATACTCCCAAAAGAACTTGCTTTTTGTTTAAAAAAAAATATTCCACACTCACATTTTCTACAAATTTTTCAGTAACCTTCTGTCATTAGTTTTATTCATTATTCATTGTCACACAGCTGTTTTACTCTTTCTTTAGACTGCGTATAAAATCATAGACTTGGGATATGCTAAAGAACTTGACATCACCAGCATTTGTGATTCTTTTGTGGGAACAGTTCAGTATTTGGTAAGTTACCAGCTGTGTTCTCCTAGATGTTATTCTTTAAGAGCTTGAATTAGCATTTGCACTTTAAAAGAAGTGGTTGATAACTAGGGTTTTTGAAGCTTATTTAATCAGCACCAGATAATTTTTGTATACTTTATTTAGTTTTCGTTAAACATTTGATATAGTTATTTCCCATATTCAGTTTAGTTTTTTTCTATAGTAAATATACTTGATTAAACTAGTAAGTAAAGATTTCTTATAATGAGTAGTTTTTTTAATCAATGCAGTTTTTATATAGTTGATATATTATTTTGTATGTACAATGTAGTCTTTTTCAAGTTACTGTAGATGTTCTAAAGTTAACATAATTTTATCCATCTGTCATTACATTCTAGTGCCTTATCAGCTGGTTTATTTCCATAACTATGGTTTTTTATTTTCTGACATATTTTCTTCTCATATTTGCTGTCACATTTTTCTTACTGTTGTCACCTTTTCTTGTCTTTTATCACCTATTCTTATCATACTTGATGTCACCTTACCATATTTGCTGTAATCTATTCCCACCATACTGGCTGTAAGTTTTTTTGCTGTCTGTTTGCGATTTACATAAATGATCTGCCCTTAAGTCTGTCGTCGTCGTGCGATTTATTCGCGGATGACTGTACCATCCATTCAAATGCTCGAACTTGTAATACACTAGAGTTGTCTTTGCAAAAAGAATTAAACAATATAGTTGGAGCTACGCAAACCGCATGCAAATCAACATAAGTAAGACAAAATCTATGTTAATAACAAGACAAAAACTGTGCACTTTAAACTCTCATAGAACCCTTCAACTCTACCTAGGTAACACACCAGTAGAAAGTGTAACTGAGCACAAAACTTTAGGTCTGATCATCGATGGAAATCTTACCTTCAACTCCCATGTGCAAACACTTGTTAAGCAAACTGCTACAAAGGTATACCAACTAGCAAAAATTAAAAACTTTCTGGATGAAAACTCAAGGAAATTATTCTATACTTCTCATATTCAGACCCACATAGACTTTTGCTCCACAATATGGGATGGACGTGCAAATTCAGTCATCAAACGGCTGAAAGCACTGCACAGAAGGGCTGTTCGTTTAATAGCTAATAGTCATGAAAGTGACTGTTCGCACCTATATAAAGAACTCATGCTATTACCGCTCCAGGAACGCCTACTATTCAATAAAGCTAAACTTATTAAGAAAATCATATCTAAAAATGCTCCATGTTACCTTTGGCCATTATTTAAATACAATGGAAGACGTAGCAAATGCCTTAACATATTGCATATCTCTAAACCTTGAATAGACCTATATAAAACAAGCTTAGCGTACTCTGCAGCTCAGCTGTGGAATAATCTTCCACCGGAAATAAAAAATATCAATAACCCCTTTAGATACAATCAGAAACTTTTTGATTATTATCTCACTACAGACTATATGCCCCCCTAAAAAGATTATAGTATGCTAAGGCTTTGATGTATTTCTTATTAACGGTTTTTTTTTTGGGGGGGGGGGGGGGGCTTGGTGGGGGTTGAAAACTGAAGCTTATTATTGTTAAAACTGAAGATGTCAGTCGAATGCATTCCAATATTTGGAACTAATATTTAATTGGTTTTGATGATGTTTATATTATGCAACCTGTAAGACTTACATCATTTTTTGAATAGGCTTATTATTATACTCTTTCAAACGTTCAAGTAATGTCAGTATAAATTAGAGCACATTCCAGCATTTGTAATTAAGACTTAGATATTGTAATTTTTTTTTTCTTCTTCTCTTTTTTGTTCTTTTGTTTCTTTTCTATATTTCTCAAATTTTTAATTGTGCATTCCTCTTTTTATTATTATTATTAATTATTATTATTATTATTAACTATGAAATGAGGTAAAAATGAAACATTGTATGAAAGGAGCGGAGTGGAAGGGCAGAATGTTAGACGGGCCTGCGTGCCCAATTCTTAACCCTTTGAAAATAAAGTTTGTTCGTTCGTTCACCTTACCATATTTGCTGTCAAATATTCTTACCATACTTACTGTCACCTTACCATATTTGCTGTATATTTTCCTCTCATATTTGCTGTCACCTTTTCTCACCAAATTTATTTTTATATTTTCTTCCCATATTTCCTGACACCTTTTCTTATCAGATTTGTTATACATTTTTTTTTTCCATATTTTGTGTCACCTTTTCTGACCAAATTTGTTGTACATTTTCTTTCCATATTTGCTGTCACCTTTTCTTACCAGATTTGTTGTACATTTTCTTCCCATATTTGCTGTCACCTTTTCTCACCAAATTTGTAGTACATTTTCTTCCAATATTTACTGTCACCTTTTCTTACCAAATTTGTAGTACATTTTCTTCCCATATTTGCTGACACCTTTTCTTATTAGATTTGTTTTACATTTTCTTTCCATATTTTGTGTCACCTTTTCTTACCAAATTTGTTGTACATTTTCTTTCCATATTTGCTGTCACCTTTTCTTTCCAAATTTGTTGTACATTTTCTTCCCATATTTGCTGTCACCTTTTTTTACCAAATTTGTGGTACATTTTCTTCGCATATTTGCTGTCACCTTTTCTTACCAAATTTGTGGTACATTTTCTTCCCATATTTGCTGTCACCTTTTCTTACCAAATTTGGGGTACATTTTCTTCCCATATTTGCTGTCACCTTTTCTTACCATATTTGTTGTACAATTTCTCCCCATTTTTGCTGATACCTTTTTTTGTCATATTTGCTGATACCTTTTCTTACCGTGACAAAAGGCTATAAAGAATCTACTCGCTTTCACATACATTGTGATTCATGCATTTAAAAAGTCAGGTAAATTGTGATCTCATGTATTTCTGTCAACAAATTTCAGGCGCCTGAATTATTCATTTCCAAACCTTACTCCAAGACAGTCGACTATTGGTCATTTGGGTGCATGATATTTGAATGTATCACTGGATTTAGACCGTTCCTTCCAACAGCACCACCTGTCGAATGGTATGTTGTTATGACAGTTGTTAACAGCATCTGTATTTATTTTTTATATTTTTTATGGTTGCAGGCTCACCCCTTCGTAATTTTTATGCTGATGATGTTGTGTCTAAAATGTTTTCTAGGAATAGATCCTTATTAAATATCTGTATACATAGTAATACATCTTTGATATGTTCAAACAGTTTATTATAATGTCACCTCAATAATAAAAAAAAACACTGTTATCAGGAAAGAAACTCCTCAGATAGTTGATGGGCCAAAAAGTATTCCCTCTGCCCCATTCCTTCATGCTGTCACAACTTATTGACACTGTGGTGAAATAAGGGCCGTTTTTGCCTGATAATTTTTTCAGAGGTCTCTGATGACTTCTAAACACTGTCACAATCATTCTTTATAGCTCATTTCACTCCCACATTTTGATCTTCTGTGCAGAATATGTTAAGTCCTTTTCAATTCACAAGAATATTTATACAAATTTCTGTTCCCCCAATATATTAGTGTTTTCACATGCTGAGGCAGAATTTCATTTTCTCCCCTTCATTACTGTATCCATTGAGCGGATTCTCTATCTGCAGATCTTCTAGAACGATCAATCTCTTGATATCCAGATTAAGTCTTCTCCAACGGTCTTTTAATATCCACATTAAATCTTCTGTGGATTCCCCATCTGCAGATCTTCTCCAACGGTCTCGTAATATCCAGATTAAGTCTTCTACCACCACACATTTACTGTCATGGTATTAAGTTATATTGTACAGTGTTTTCTGGAGATGATTAGTCATGTCATTAGTTTCCACACTGATTTAGCGGTGCCAGATGCTTACGTCTAGTCATGTTATAATATAAAGTGTGCAATTTGATGCATATATTCAACACCTTGTTACCTTAAAAGAGCAGCATCCACTGGACTTTTTAAAAATCATTAAACAATTCTTTAATTATCAGATATTACAAATTTATAGACAACACACTTTTCTTATGACTTATGAATCATAATAATATTGTCATACTTCTAGCTCAGTTTTTGTGTGTGTGTGTGCACATTTCTGCACCCTGCCTGTCAGTTTTCGTACCTGTGTGAGGCTGAACTATTGATTTCTCAGGAAATGCGTTATTTACACATTGACCGAAATTGTGATATCTTGGCTTTAGAATATTAAGATATTGTTGTTGACATTAAGATGCACATAGTCTGAAATGGTTTATGGTATTCACTGAAGGCACGCTGAAGTGTGCAAGAAATCCCCGGATGATATCAGTGTACAGTATGATGAGAACAAGCAGATCAAATTCTCCAAGAAACTTCCTTTTCCAAATCAGCTATGCAAGTGAGTTGGTTAGATATAACTTTGTTGTTTACAAGTATAGTATTATATTTACTTGTTTCATTTTAAAGGGTTGCACTGTATTAAGTGTCAACTTATGTAGTACTTTGTGTTACTGCACTGTATTAAGTGTCAACTTATGTAGTACTTTGTGTTACTGCACTGTATTAAGTGTCAACTTATGTAGTACTTTGTGTTACTGCACTGTATTAAGTGTCAACTTATGTAGTACTTTGTGTTACTGCACTGTATTAAGTGTCAACTTATGTAGTACTTTGTGTTACTGCACTGTATTAAGTGTCAACTTATGTAGTACTTTGTGTTACTGCACTGTATTAAGTGTCAACTTATGTAGTACTTTGTGTTACTGCACTGTATTAAGTGTCAACTTATGTAGTACTTTGTGTTACTGCACTGTATTAAGTGTCAACTTATGTAGTACTTTGTGTTACTGCACTGTATTAAGTGTCAACTTATGTAGTACTTTGTGTTACTGCACTGTATTAAGTGTCAACTTATGTAGTACTTTGTGTTACTTCAGATTGTAGAAAGCAAGGAGAAACCACCATATGTTGAATTCTAAGAATAATGATAAAGGAAATGAAGGTTTTTTAACTGAAATATTGCAGAAACGATCTTAGAAAATCAGTGATCTAGAAAATGATAAACATTGACATGTACAAGATTTGAGAAGTGTATGGTTTATAAAAAGCATTGTATGTTGAACATTGAAATAATTTGGCCATATTAAATTTTGCATTGGTTTAAAAAGCAGTACTGGAAGACATAATTCATGGAAGATGAGGCAGGGGCCAACTAGCTTGAAGATGGACATAAAACATTGAAGAAACTGTGGACCAAGATTCTTACCAGTGGGCTTTGGTAGGGGTGACATTCACCAAAGAATCTGCGACACTGGCTTATTTTTCACATCATTTTTTTTTTCCTAATCGTTGCTTGTGATTTTAGCAGTCATTAGTGTGACAGTGAAAGTGTGAATTTGTGGTTACACAAACAATGTAGCGCCTTGCATTAACCTGTTTGATTATTTCTTTCAAACATTAGACCATTTCAGAACTATTTTGAGCAGTGGTTGCGGTTGATGCTGAGGTGGGACCCTAAGGCCAGAGGTGGGGGAATTATTCAAGTGCAAGGTGTGGAGAGATCAAAATGTTTCTACTTGATTGAACAAATGATGTCGCTGAAGGTGAGAACACCCACATTTTGTTATAATTTATTTTGGCTCAAGTTTTAATACAAAGGCCATTTGACTGGCCTCTTGGAACTTCTAGTGAGTTTACTGACATTGAACGAGGGAGACTTTGTACTGCCTATCTTCTTCATTTTCTTCTTCTTGTTCACTGGCTGTGAGCTCCAGCGGAAAGTCTTGGTTGTATCTTCCGTTTGGACTTTATTCCAGGACCTGACTTTTGCGTATACATCCGTTTTACTGTGTTTCCTGCCTTTCCTGCTGATGTACGACTTTGAAGGTACTTCTGTGAAGGATTGCTTGTTCTACAAGGAAATAGATGACTGCACATGTGTGCTAAAGATGAAATTTACAATCAAGTTTGGCAGGATGGAACATATTTTACAAGCGGTAGCTAAAGGAGGTTGGTGTGGGTTTAGCACTCCATAGACAATTTTAGCTACAAAATCCAACCAACCAAAACAATTTTATAAAAATATAATAATAAAAAAATTAAAAAAAAACTTTTACATGCTAGCTGCTCTTTGAGTGTATGAAGCTAGACAAATATTTTTATGGACCAGTTGGCCCTCAAAAAGTAATGTGGTCAACATCATGCCAACTGCATTTACTTCCCATGACTTTCCCTTGTACTGATTTAACAACCGGTCATGATAAGTCTAAATAGGAAACAAAGTAACTCAGTCAATCAAGCTGAAAGTAGCCTCTTATGAAAGTTTGAAGCAATGCAGAAAAAGCGATTTGGACAAAAAATGAAAGGAAATTAAGCATATGACAACTCCATTTCCTTTGTCAAAACCCTACCCAAAAGGCTGAATCATACACATATTTAAGTAACAATGTAGCTACAGGTGGGGGCCCTGATAGAGTTATAACAGTAAGAAATAGCAAAAGGAACTGTCATAGTACTATACAGTCTGCAAAGTTAAAAGACATTAAACATAATATGAAACCTAAAATATATAGCAAACTTAAAATATGTATTAGTGTTACCTTTCCTTTGGAGTGAATAAGGCTAACAGGTTTTGCTTTCTTAGCATGATGAGTTTACTTATATTTTTCTAATCTGGCATTATCTTTCCATCTGCTTGTGAAAACATTTTGAAAATATTCTCTCACCTGAGCTAGTGTTCCCACTGATTGCAAAAGTGACAGATATAATACTTCCACGTGGTAAAGTGACAGATGTACTGCTTGCTCAATGTAAAATGACAAATTTTATACCTCCCTTCATAGAAAAGTGACTAATTTAATGCTTCCACATCACTAAGTGACTGAATGTACTGTCCTTTTTACAGTAAAGCGACTAATTTAATGCCTCCACATCTCAAAGTGACCAAATTTACTGTCCCTTCATGGTAAAGTGACAAATTTAATACCTCCACATCACAAAGTGACAAAATTTACTGTCCCTTCAAAGCAAAATGACAAATTTAATACCTCCACATCACTAAGTGACAAAATTTACTTTCCCTTCATAGCAAAATGACAAATTTAATACCTCCTCATCACAAAGTGACCAACCAAATTTGCTGTCCCTTTACAGTAAACTGATTAATTTATTACCTCCACATCACAAAGTGACCAAATTTACTGACCCTTCATGGTAAAGTGACAAATTTACTACTAGCTATTTACTTTAATGCCAGATCTTGCTAAACATACACACATTTGTTGCCCCCACAGATAAAGATTTGTTTCTGGACACTTTCTTATAAATAACCATACATATAAAGTTTACTAATTTCTAGTTAATATACTGCAAATCTACGGGATCGTGCTGGACGGTGTAATGCTGTTTCTGTACAAAGCTTTCTGTGTTTTCCAGCTGTAATTAGTAAGATTATAACAAATAATTTAAAAAAGAAAATGACCTCTTTATTTTCAGATTTTACAGATCCTTCATGTGGAGGCCAACAGTATTCTTTCATACCCAATCAATGAGAGCCATACTATTGCCAATTTGAAAGAAGCTATAGAATTTGAAACAGGAATCCCAGCAGCACAGCAAGAGATCATTCTAGCTACAGGGGCCAAAATGAGTCCTACAGATTTGGCACTTAATGCTTATTGTGAACCTGTAAGTTATTTTCCTATTGTTATGTTTATTGTACTTACAAGGTGGAGGAGAGAACACACACAAGTGGAATGTGAGGCCATTTGCTTTGCTGGCTTCTTTGGCTTAGTGTCCACCAGCTGTAAACTCTGGTGGACAGTACTGGCTGTTAACCACTCCTAGACTTATGGTTCCTGATGCAGGAGTTCAGTTTTGTGTGCACATCTGTTTTACAGATCTGGCTTATTTGTATGCAGACTGTTCCTTGCCTGTTAGGCAGGTGCACTCCGACTTTGAAGGAAACACCCCCAATTAGTCGACTCCTGTGACAAGTTTGTTAAGGGAGCCGTGGGTATGTTCTTTGTCCTCCAAAGTGGTGCCCTGCAACCCACACATGGACTTTGCTGTCTGAAGTGGTCAGTTTATTTTCAGCCTGTGTTTGGTTTATGAGTGTGTTTGGTTTATGGGTGTGTTTGGTTTATGAGTGTGTTTGGTTTATGAGTGCAGTTATTTTGGACAATCCTTGGGAGATGTCACTTGTGAAGTTCGTGCACTGTGTGATGCTCTCTGCCAATCTGTTGAGAGTGACTGAAATGGAACCTGATGCAATGAAGTCAGTCCTCGCACCTTTAATCGCCTTTTATTGATCCTGCATTCGTTGCATTTGTTAATGCAGTATGCTCATATAGAATAATTCTGGTTTTTATTTAATTTCTGATTTATTTTTTTCTGAACAAAAGCTCTGGTATTTGTTGTTCCTATAAATAAACAGAGGGGGGAACCATTTGAGGCCGTTAAATATTATGAATTAATCAAGTAACAGAAAGTATTGTGAACGGCACTCATAGAAAGAAGTAGAAAGATAGAAGAACACACTAGACAACATAAAAATCGAAAGCTATAGTTACCGTGCCGGGAATTGAACCTGTCACCTCCAGACGGCGTCTGCGCCTCGCCATGAATACAAGTGCACTAAGATACATGGTCAACTAGGCACCCCCAAAAAAAAGGTGTCTCATTGGCCATGTCTATCGTACAGCTTGAAATCCACGACTATGGAATATGGACAGAATTCATTTCAACCCATTGAAATGGCACCATAGGTTACAGAAATTTATATTAACGAAGCAAATGTCGAATAACAATCACAGCAACAATTTACGAACACAGTAAGACCTTATTGCTTTGTCTAGAATACACAAACATTTAAGAAAGGTATGTGAAGATTGTACAGTGCTGTCTGGGTGTAGCCACAGTTCTGCTGACAGTTTGACTTTAGAGCAGCAGATATTTTTAAACAGCTTTTCTAAGAAGTACTGTAAAAAATTTAAGAAGTCAAGATACCTTCACCTGGTTAACAGTTAATTTTTTTTAAACCCCAGATTTTTCTGTCTCATCTCCTATCTGTTGTCTACATTTCTGCATATGTGTTTCTTCTTCACGCTCATCGACTGTAAACTTTGACGGAAAGTTATGGTTGTACTTCTGGACTTTGAGTTTTGCTTGCACATTCATTTTACAGATCTGGCTTATCTGTCTGCAGACTGTTGGTTCTTTGCCTCTCAGAAAAATGTACTCTGACTGAAGGAAATCCCTAATTATTCGACTCTTACTACATGCTTTTTAGACAGGTGGTAGGTCTGTCTCCCCCCCCCCCCCCCCCCCAACCACCACAGTAGGGCCCCGGAAAGCACACAGGAATACCTATGTGTGTGGTTCCTTCTCTTCAGATAAGGTTTGACCAAGGGAAATCAGGTTATCATTTGCTTGATTTCTTACCAATTGTCTTTCTTCTGTGAATGTTTAGATCTAATTGTTATATCTCTCATCAAGTTTCCACAACACTTATTTTTCTTCCCAGGACATTTCCTGGTATCAGTTTTAGACGGGTATAATTTATATTGCATCTGATTCCATGTTTGGGATGATATGGGGGGGGGGGGCAGTTTCTTCAGCATAATCAAGTGCATATTGCAGATTAAGATGAAGATACAGTGAAGAACAGTATTGAATCTATTTAGCTGTAAAACACATTGCACCTAGTCCTGTGTTACAGTGGAAGATTTACCACTGTAGTTTCAAAAACCAACTCATGTGGAAATTTGCAGAAGCTATTGTGATAGACATGGGCAACCTGTCACTACCCTCTCTGTGCAATATAATGATATGTTAGTCAGATTAAAACTAACATGTGGAAATTTGCAGAAGCTATTGTGATAGACATGGGTAACCTGTCACTACCCTCTCTGTGCAATATAAAGATATGTTAGTCAGATTAAAACTAACATGGTAACATTAAAACAATAGACTGTTTGCTGTGTAGTTTCACTGAAAGGTTTTAGTGTTGTACTTCATGTATTGTAATTTAGTTCTGGAGCATACACTTACCATTTTTGCATTGATTTTGACAACTGTATGAGATTTGTACTGTTCTGGTAGCAACAACAAACTATGGAATATAAAATTGCCTATAAAATCACAAAGCAGCCAGTAAATGCAGGGGTTCATTTGTTTAATTGTTCTTCTTCTTTTTCTTTTTAGTCTTCACCAGTTGTAAACTCTGACGGAAAGTTCAGACTGTTCATCCACTCCTGGACTTTCGTCTTGATCAGGAGCTGCAGTTTTATGGGCATATCCATTTTACAGATCTCACTTACATGTATGTAGAGGCTGTTGGTTACTGGCCTCTCTGGCAGAAATACTCCGACTGTGACAGATCACATGTTGGTTACTGGCCTCTCTGGCAGAAATACTCCGACTGTGACAGATCACATGTTGGTTAGAGGGGGCAGTGGGTCTGTTCTTTTTTTTCTCTATAAGGGAAGCCCTGAAACCCAGACAGCGAATGTTGAATCAGTAAAGGTTATAGTCAGGACAGCTCATAGCTTTTCGCGCCAATTTGTTGCCAGGTTGCAGTGTTTTTTAAGGTAAAATATGCGGGCATTCGTTTGTGACATCCTGAAGAGGTAAGTCTCTGGTTAGGTACAGTAAAATTTGGCCATCAACAAATTTCACAGTCTACTCCTTGGGTTTTCGTTTTGCACTATGGGTAAACATGACTTTGAATTTATAATGGCTGTAATTTTTTCTTCTCCTTCAGTTGACTGACGACCCTGTGGTTTTCCTGTACCGTAAAGGACCCATGCAGTTACAACAAAGAAAGAATAAAATACTTCCTGTGGCTGTCCAGGCAATCGTCAAGGATCCTAACATCTTGCTGCCTCCACGAGATCATCGCAAGGCCTGGGCGCAGGCTGTCTACTGGTTTACAGAACAGAACAGGGATTACAAAAGACTCATTCTGAGTCATAGAGCAGCATTGTATGTATTTTGCGGCCTTTTCTTTGGACTTGGTTTAGTTTATTAGGGATTACTTCCATTGCACATGGCTATCTCCATAAGTGTATCAGTCTCCTCCTGTAGATCACACAATGCAGGAACTCTGTAGCACTAGAGAGGTCCCATGTTTATGTATACAAGAAACACGTATGCTGTATTGTTTGGAAAAAGAGGGTTGGGGGGGGGTGTCTATAATTTATACATTTTGCCAGGGCTTGCTATTCAGTTTACTCTTTTTGATTTCCAATTGCCAGGGGATTTTTGTGTGTACAACATGTACTTCCCTTTTTTTCCCCCTCTGTTAATTTTCCTTTCTCTTTCTCTTCTCCTCTCTTTTTTCCTCTGTACCTCTCCCTGTCTGCTTCTCCTCGGTTTTTTCCTCTGCTTCTCCCCTCTCTCTCATTTTGGAACAGAACAGGGATTACAAAAGGCTCATTCTGAGTCATAGAGCAGCATGTGTGTATTTTTTGGGCTTGCTTTATTTTATTAGGAATCACTTTCATTGCACATTGCTGTCTCCATAACTACAGCAGTCTCTTCCTGTAGATCTGTAGCACTGGAGATGATCTAAAGCTATTCAATTTTCTCTTTTTAATTTCCAATTGCCAAGGAATTTTTATGAGTACATTTTCTCCCGTTTTTTTTCATCCCTTTCTCTGTTCTCTCCCTGTCTTGTTTCTTTCTCTGTTTCTCCCCCTGTCTGTTGTTTTTCTCTACCTTCTCTCTCATTTTTGAGAAAATAGACCCAGTTTCCGTAAAAAAGGTGACTAATTTAGGGTTTGTAGAAATCAGATATGTTGGGCTGGTTCTAGCCCAGCTGTAAACCATAAAACAACGTGCCAACCACACTGTTCCGGAAATTTTGAAGAAGAAAAAAAAATACTTAGATGTTTGTATCTTTATCTGTTTAGCATATTTTAAGAACATTTTGGGGGTAGTTGTAGAAGGGGAAGGCAAAGAAGAATCTGGAATGACAACATCAAGAAATGGACAGGACTAAGTTATACACTTTTTCATCAAGCAGAAGACAGAGAAAGAGGGCGGGTTTTATGTGCTAATGCTTCCTTCAATACACCTCCACTACCCTAATGGGTCAAAGGTTATGTTATGTTAAGAACATTTAGTAACAACATGTATGCTTTTCTCTGTGTAGGTTGAACCTGCTACTGAGTAACACTTCACTAACTAAGAAGAAATCTTTTATGTGCAGCGAGATTGGCAAACTTCTGGCTTGTAAGGAACAGTTCCAGGCCAGGTAAACAGTCAAACACATTTTCGTGCTGCAAGCTTATTAAATTCGACTTTTTTTGAAAGCAGTTTTTATTTTTTATTTTTTAAAGATTGCATTAATCTCCTCCTGTTCCCCCTTCCTCTATCCTAACTGTCTTTCTGTTTGCATAGTGAGAGGTCACCCACACATATTGTGATGGCTTCTGCAAACTGCAGCGTGCGCTGGTTTTTGAAATTACCGTAATAATATTCAGTTCAAGCGCAAGACTGTGTGATGTGTTTTTGAGCTTAAGGGATTCATTATTGTCTTGTATGTTGATATAATTATGTAGTATGCACCTGATTTTGTTGATGACTTTGTCCCATGCATGACATTAGTAAATGCATAAGTGTTTTATTTCCTCAAGAGTAATTCTTCTTCTCTTTCCTCTTCTTCATATATGCCGGCTATAAACTCCAGCGGAAATTTCTGCATGCAGACTGTTGGTTTCTTGCCTCTCAGGCAGATGTACTCTAACTTTGAAGAAAGCTCCCAAATTAGTTGACTCTTACAACATGCATTTGGGCAGGCATTGGGTCTATTCTTGTTTTCCCCCACAATTAGGGCCTGGAACCCACACGAGGAAAGAGTAATTTAATTATAGGAACCCTGTGTGGGTCTCAGGCAGATGCACTCTGACTTCAAAAGAAGCTCCCAATTCGTCGACTTTTACAACATGCTTTTGGGTAGGCAGTGGGTCTGTTCTTGTTTTCCCTATAATAAGGGAGCATGGTTATTTAAATTTCTATAATTCATTTAAGGCTTTCATTTGAAGCCCCATCATATCAGATTGGTATATACAGATGTAGGACTATCACAACATTTCCATAATGCCTCTTGGCACAGAAATTAATCTGTTACTTACTATTTTTACTTGGGTCTGTGCATTTTATGTCTTCAGGCAGAATTTAATCGCAAATTTGCTACCGAGGCCCTCATGAAAAGCAAAGAATAATAACACTGCACCCTACCAGGCATGTCGTAAGAGACGACTAAGGGTAGGGTTAGGCTTGAGGTTGGCTACCTCGTCCTATAAAATTACTAGCAACAAAAACCAGCCAGCCTTGGAAAAGTCTAAAAGAGCAACAGGAAATACAGAGCCACGAGCAATAGCAAAGGAAATGGTGACTTGTGATTTGGTTAAGGGCCCATGCCCCATTGGGGGATAAAGAGCAGGAGAAGAAGAAGAAGAAGAAAAATACATATCATCCACATTAAGTTTTAAAATATAATTTATGTGATCAAAAGTTTGCACTACATTATGTGAGTGTTCACTTAGTCCAGTCTTCCATAAATAATGATTGTGTCTTTCTCTTTCAATCTATATTCTTATTTCTCTTATTAATTGGCTCTGTTTGTTCTCTTGATGTCTGTGTCTCTTATTGCTTCTGTCTGTCTCTTTGTGTTTCTCCATCTCTTTGTCTCTCTGTGTATCTATCTTTGTGCTTATTTGTACCTCATTTTGTCACTCTCTTTCCCACTTTTTTATAGCAGATATTAAATCTTTGTACACCCTTAATTTCTCCACAGTTTGGACTTTGACATGCAACAGTATCGAGATACTTCAGTTGGTATGTACTTGCACTTTTACACCATAAAAATGTCTGTGTGACCATACATTCTTTACGTCTGAGAAAATCAGTTATGACAATTTAATCCGTATAATACATCTGCCAGTAAAATGCCAGCACACTAGAGTTTTCTAAACTGTGTATAAATGTTGTCTCATGTTCTCAGATCATGGGAATAGTTTGATGTCCTTCCCAGATAGTTGTTTACTGGGCAAAAAAGTGGAAAGTAGAACTGGGTATAGCGGGGAGGGGTAAACTCTACCAACAGGAGATGTCAGGCGCCTTCTTTCCTTCGCTAGCCTGCGGGATACCTCATAGGCAGGGGTAGACTACCCGTTTAGGCCCTGATCAGGATTACCAAAAGTCATGTCAGATTTTGACATTTGATGCTAGGCTGACTTTTATTGACCACTCAACCACGTTGTCTACATCATATCTACCCAGGAAGGTTTCTGGGACTCATTTTAGGCTAGGTCAGTGAATAACTAGACACATTATTCTTATCATACACATGAGTATATCTGATTTTCTTGTATTTCAGTTTGTGGCAAAGTTTTCAATGGGATCAGTGGAGAGATGCTCCTCCAGTGGGCACAGATGGCTCAGAAAATAGACTCCTTTATTGCTTTGGTGAGTTCTATCATTTACCTGTATTTAAGTGACACTTATAACAGGCTTAGAAATTAAAATACAATTGCTGTGTAAAATATGAGTGTTAGGATTGCCTGAATGTAAGACAGGCCTGCGTGCCCAGTCTACGACCCTTTAAAATAAAGTTTGTTCATACTTACATTAAATGGCATGACAGTTTTATAAAATTACACTAGGATGAGGGAGGGGTCCAAGGCAAGTGAGCAAGAGATAGGCAATGATACAAGTAGGAAAGGCATAAAAAGAACTGCAAAATGTCAGGGTGTGCCACGAGATAAAGATACAGAAAGTGTGGAAAATCCACTGCTGCTAATTTTAATATTGAAAAAGGCATGTTATTAAAAAAAAATAATAATACCTGGTCATAAGTCTATTTCCTTGACTATGAAGAAATCATAAGGCTGGGTTGACGCTGAAGTTATGTCGTCTGTATAAAAAAGAATACCTTTACTCAGTGGAAGATTTGAACCAGGAGCCACCATTTTTCCACCCTAGAATTATGTTTTCCAAAATATTTTGTCCTTAACAGTTATTTTTTTATAAGGGGTCTCCATGGCGCCATGGTTACGCCGTTTGCCTCATAATAGACATAGAGAAGGTAATTTTTATTGGTCTCATTAAATGCATCCCTTGGACTGGCACACCATCGCCATTATACATGACCTTGTAAAAATTGTGGGAATATGAAAACATTTTTGAAGCAAGCCATTTATCACGTAGCTGTATGATTTATACCGGTTTCTCAACCATTTTACACCAGCAGGATATTAAAAGAGGGAAAACTCTTTTGAGGCCCACCTGACAGCGAATCAAAGCACAGAAACAAAAAAACCTATGTAGATGGCAGTTTATTTGTTAAATCCACTGTCACAAAATTAAAATGTTCAGCCAAAGTGATATGTGCTGCTGCCTAGAGATGAGAACATCTGATATATGTGTCAGCCTCTTTTAACTACAGTGGAAAGGCGAAAAATGCAATGGTATGGACATGTAAAAAGATCTAACAGCCTCTCAAAAACAATACTGCAGGGTTCAGTAGAGGGAAAGAGAAGAAGAGGCAGACCAAGAAAGACCAGGTTACAGAACCTGACTGACTGGACAGGCCTCAGGCATGCAACCATGAAGTCCATAGCAACTGACTACCAAAAGTGGAGAGAGTTATCAGACAGTCAACAGAAACTGGTGACCCAACGACATGTGGTGTTACGGGATGATGATGATGATGTCTGTATGTGTTGCTCACAGTCTTACTTGACTATGCAGCAATACATTGCCAGCATCGTGTAGCTGCTTTATGATTAGATCAACATTCTTGATGGCTCACTGCTGGTCTGTGGTCCCCTTGTTGAAGAACACTGATTAAAACCATGATGTCTTCTTCTTCTTCTTCCTCTTCTTCTTCTTCTTCTTCTGCATTCACCTTTAAAAGGATGGTTGGCACATTATCTTTTAGTTTACAGACAGGCTGTGATATCTGTGCCTTTGGACCCACACGTCTGATTTCAGCCAACCCCTATAATTAGTCACCTTTTTTAACATGCTTGTTAGTAGGGAGCAGTGGGACTATTCTTTACAGTTTAAAGGGTTAAAGACAAGAGGATCAGCTTCATTGTACCGGGTTTTATCCCAAATGGCTTGGTCTCTTTTCACAGAATGGCTACCTGCAGAGCATGAGCTCTGGCAACGATCCCCGAAGATCTTTGTAAAAAATTGCACTCATGAACTGAATGAACGGCACATGTGAATTGAACCCATAACCATTTAGAGCTCGAGGCAGACAGCTTGACCACTTCGCCACTGAGACCCGCAAAGAACTAATTTGTTTTCCTCAAAAATGGAACCCACACAAGGATAACCATCACGTCTAAATTATTTTCTTAGCACAGTTTTTTTTAATATTTGAGAAAGAAAAAAAGTCAGATGGAGTCAGATTCAGAATATAGGTGTGAAAGAATCTGAACATTCAAAATCTTGACTACTAGCTATTAAGAGGCATAGGAAGTGGGTAACAATATGGAAAAGATGGTAAAAATGGCAAATAACAAATATGAACAGAAAATTGATCATCATGTTAATAAGTAAATTAAAATTTAGAGAGAGAGAGAGAGAGAGGCGGTGGTTTTTGTAAATTACTGCACAATTGAATTAAAACAGTATTCCAAAATAAGAGAGCCACTGTGGCATGGTGCCTAGGTGCTCTCCTGGGAGCTTAAAGGTGGTGGATTCAGATTCGCATTGAGTCAGAATAGATTTTGGCTCCCAGGCCAGCCCAGCCAAAGATGGGCAAAGTCCTGAGAAGTAAAAGCGGCCAGCTTGATGGTGACCACATAACCCACCCAGTGCCGTTTGGTCCAGCACTTTATACCCAACACACCTGAAGGCATGGGAAAGGGCCCTTTACTTACTTATAAACAGTCAGTGAAAAGGCATGTAACTGTTATACCTTTATTGATTAGAATGACCGAGTGAAACAACTAGATGCTAAAGCTACAGCAGTGACCACAGAAATAGTTGAGATTCAGCGAAGCCCATTCTCCAGACTAAAACAAGCAAATGAATTGGAGGAATTGTATGTTACTTGTTGTTTTATTGTCTGTTGTTTTGTTTGTGTGAATGATTAAACTCATATTTTTAACAGCGTTAGGAGCTTGAAACTAGTAAAGGGTAATTCCCAGGCATTGTAATTCTTGTGTAAAAATAGAAGTCACTGTACAGTTTTAACATTGCAGAATTTAAAGATTTGCATTTAAACACCAGTTTAGGCAAAATATAGACAAAGATGGAATTACATTTAGAAATATAAAAATATGAATACATAGCCAAGGTGAGCTTTCATAGTATTATAAAATAAAGTGGGTGTCACAGAAAATGTATCCTAGAATATTTAATTCGAATGTCAAATAAGTACTGCAGTAGTAATAAGCAGAAACATTTAGAAAGACCTGAACAGTTACTAGTAAATTACAAATATATGTTAACTGGTGCTTGCACAGACTAGAGAGAATTTCAGTAGGGTGACAGAATCATCCTTTAACAAGATTTAAACAAATTTCAGGGAATAAGAGATTGAGAAAAAAATATTAGTGCTGGATAGGACACACATTGAGAGAACCTGTTAATAGTATAACTCAAATGTTCTTGCTCTGGAAAGCCACATGGGTAAAGAAATAAAGGCATACCAAAAATAGAAAGAGCAGAAACTAAAATAAAAATTAAAAAACGATGGCAAGGACATGGAACGAGCTGCATGCAATGACGAAAGACAGGACAACTTGGTATCAGCTGGTTAAGGGTCTGTACTTCGCTGGGGAAAAGATGCAGAAGAAGAGTATTCTGGCAGCTATCTTTACAGGGTCAGGTCAGACTTAACCTGTTGCCCCTCAAAGACTAAATCTAGTTACTTCCAATTTTGACAGAGCCCTGTAAATACTGGTGTATCAGTATTTCCACAGTGACCTGTGCTAGAAAAGCATACAGACAAATTTTTAATGAGGGTACATTTTAAAAAATATCATTTTTTAATGATCTGTGTAAGGAAAAAAAAATTCACGGCACATTTTTATAGCATTTGCTGAGGAAAAAATCTCTTGTCTCGATGGGAGATTTGAATACTTGGCCACTGTAGCTCCATCGTAGAATTATCTTTACCTCAGTGTTTACAGGTTATCTTATTTTGTAAAGTGTCTCATGATAGATAAAGTGATGAAGCTATTTATTGTGTGCTCTGAAGGTTGAGTTTAATTTCAGACTCCTTCGTTCAGTTTGCTAGTGCAGTTATTTTAGAGATCTAGAATTTGTTTTTGTAGCTGTGGAGCTCAAGCTTTGTGCAGCAGCTGGACAAGATGACCTGTAGCTCAGCAGCAGCAGCAGCAGCAACTGGGCTATTTTTAAATTAAAACCCCATGTAATTAAGTCAACCCTCATACCTTTAAATACCTTTTTTTAAGCTACACTCTGCACTGTAATAATAATTGCTGAGGCTTGACTGTCAAGTCTCCACACTGCTCTTTATCAATAATTGCTGAGACTTGAACTGTCAAGTCTCCACACTGCTCTTTATCAATAATTGCTGAGGTATGACTGTCAAGTCTCCACACTGCTCTTTAAGAATAATTGCTGAGACTTGACTGTCTAGTCTCCACACTGCTTTTTAAGAATAATTGCTGAGACTTGACTGTCTAGTCTCCACGTTGCTCTTTAAGAATAATTGCTGAGACTTGACTGTCAAGTCTCCACATTGCTCTTTAAGAATAATTGCTGAGACTTGACTGTCAAGTCTCCACATTGCTCTTTAAGAATAATTGCTGAGACTTTACTGTCAAGTCTCCACGCCACTCTTTATTAATAATTGCTGAGACTTGACTGTCAAGTCTCCACATTGCTCTTTAAGAATAATTGCTGAGACTTGACTGTCAAGTCTCCACACTGCTCTTTAAGAATAATTGCTGAGACTTGACTGTCAAGTCTCCACGCCACTCTTTATAAATAATTGCTGAGACTTGACTGTCAAGTCTCCACATTGCTCTTTAAGAATAATTGCTGAGGCTTGACTGTCAAGTCTCCACACTGCTCTTTAAGAATAATTGCTGAGGCTTGACTGTCAAGTCTCCACATTGCTCTTTAAGAATAATTGCTGAGACTTGACTGTCAAGTCTACACGCCACTCTTTATGAATAATTGCTGAGACTTGACTGTCAAGTCTCCACACTGCTCTTTAAGAATAATTGCTGAGACTTGACTGTCAAGTCTCCACATTGCTCTTTAAGAATAATTGCTGAGACTTGACTGTCAAGTCTCCACATTGCTCTTTAAGAATAATTGCTGAGACTTGACTGTCAAGTCTCCACATTGCTCTTTAAGAATAATTGCTGAGGCTTTTGACTGTCAAGCCCCCAAAATTGCTCTTTAAGAATAATTGCTGAGGTTTGATTGTCGAGCTCCCACACTGCTCTTTAAGAATAATTGACTGTTGTACACACCTTATTACTACTTATCTTGCATTTGTAGAAGGATCAGTATTAACATATTTCTTTTTTTTTTTTTTCAGTGAGAAGAAAGCCAAACAACTGTATGCAGAGCTTCTAAGGGCAACTCAAGGTTAGTATTAGTAAATGTTACAGTTAAGATAACACTTTAGGGTTTTCAATGGAAATTAGTGTAGAGAAAACAATTACCAGCCCTGGCCTAATGCCAGTCATTTATTGTGTACTCTACTGATTCATGTCTGTGTACACTCTACTATGTATTTCTGAATAAATGAAGTTCTTGTTTCGATCTTAGAACCTCACTGTTTACTGAACTTGGAGAGGGCAATAAGATCTCTTCTACACATTCTTCTTCTTCTTTGCGTTCAGTTTCGTATGCTCCGGGAGTCAGACCATTAGGTGAGTTGCCTGTATGAACTTGCATGTCAGCTGCAGATCCTTCATAGTTCCACATAGCTTGCTCTGCACACTTTGCTTTTGAGGTCAGGTTTCTTTTTGAAGTTTTAGGTAGAATGGGCAGGTCTGCAGAATGTGCTCAGGTGTTTGTGGTCCTGTGTGACAGACACACTGTGGGGGACTGTACAGTTTTTATTTTATGCATGTATTAGTTGAGCCTGCATTGTCCTGTACATAGACGGAAAATTGTTGTATGTTGCTTTCTGTTAATTCTGCTGATGGGGTCTTGTGAATGTTTACTGTTGGTTTGTTCTCTCCACAATTCCTTGTATTTTTCCTTGACAAGTGTTTTGATTTCTGGTAATGGCAATAAATGGGTATATTGTTTCTCCTTTGTTCCATTTCTTGCAAGTCTGTCCGCTTACTCATTTCCTGGTATGCTGCAGTGAGCCGGGATCCACTGGAGAATGATTTGATTGTTTTCTGAGAGTCTGTTTAGCTGGTGGGTCAGTTTTCTCTCCATGTTGTCTCATGGATCCCTTTGCGTCGCCTGGAGGACTGACATGCAGTCACACAATTTTGCTGGTGTTTTCTCCTTAAGATCTTCAGATGCATCAGTACACATCAAATGCAGTTAGTACTTTGGTGTAGGGACAAAAGAAAATTGTCTTCACCAGCTTTATTCTGATAGATGCTTTAATCCCTTATCTTGGGTTCGTTTTTCAGAACATCAGTATATCAGACTTGAAACACAGCAGTGCAGGGATGAAATTAAAAATGAAGAGATTTGACGAACAGGAATTAAACCAATGAAACAGCTCATGAAAGAGGAACAGATGAGGTGGTTTGGCTATCTGATGGGAATGCCCTGATACTAACTACCACTGATATCCAGATACACTCCGACTTCAAAGAAAACACCTCTAGTTAGTTGACTTTTAAGACACGCTTATTATGGAGAAAGAAATTAAAGAATGAAGTGAAAAAGGGAGAGGTTGTGGGGTGACAGCGTGGCAAGAGTGTTTTTAGGGCCTATGCTTCATTAAAGGATAAAGGGAAGAATCAGAATTTGATCAACATGTATTTTTATTATTCTGTTTTTTAAATTTTTTATTTTATTTTGTAAATTATCTTTAGAACTCATGAAGCACTTTTTATGGAGACAGAGGAAAGTCATAAACCTATTTAAACAATTAGATGTAGACATGTGATTTTTTTTGGATATGTTATGAGAAGAAATTGACTTGAGAACTTGGTAACAACTGGCAAAGTTGATGGGAAAAGAGCAGGAGGAAGGCAAAGAGATACAAATATGGTTGGTTTGGCCATATGGATGAGGCAAGACAAGAACACTGACCTAATTCATGATTCTGGTGATAGTGTAAGATGGCAAAACATGACAGCATACGCTAACTGGCACGGCACATGATGATTATAATAATGAACTCATTTTCATTGTATTTGTAGCTATTCATTTCATTGGTTTTTTATCTAATGGATTGTGTGTGGTTTGAGTTGACCTAAGTTTACATATGTTGTAGGTGACTCGTCACATGAAATAATGGATCACGTTGGCATGGTGGAATTGGTCGGCAAATGCTACTTGAAGAGAGATGAAGTGACGAAAATCCTGTACAAACACCTGAGGTTTGGACACTTTTGGCAGTTTACAGCGAATTATTATTCAGTTGATTGTGAAATGTGGGGAATGAGTGATCAAGAGGTTAGAATGTATGCCTCAGGAGAGACATTTTTTTTTGGGGTACAGCTTTTGGGCTGGATCAGCCTGTAATCCCAGGTCAGAATTAAAATACACCTTGGGGGAGTTTTCAGCCTGAAACCTCTGGGCCAGTAGGCAAACAGGCATTCTAGTTGTTGTGCTGTTGCAGCTAATTTTTTTGTTAAATGAAAGATTTTAATATACTCCTATCTATCTGAAAGTGACTAAAAAACTGTGGCCGTATTAAACGTCGTAATGCTTTAGAGAAGACATTAATGATGGGCATAGTACCTGAAAGACAAGGTCAAGGTTTAGCACAAGGGTGGACCCAGGTTGTCTGGGAAATCCTATGCCTAAAAGTTCACGAGACAGGAAGGTGGGTGTGAGGACTCACTCGCTTTCTGGTGGGCCACTGAGAGCGACATTCTGCAAAGGACCTTCTGTACAATGATTTCATTCCTTACAATATTTTTTTTTGCTTTATCCTGTTTAATAGCTCCCTTCTTCTGCCTTCTATTCCCCAATGGAGCAAAGGCCCTCAACCAGCTCATGCCAAGTCATTCTACATTCTATCCTTCGCTATTACATGGAGCTCTCCCCAAAAGTAATGATTTGACAATAGAATTCAAAAATTTTAGTTTGGTATTTCTTTCAATTTCTTTTGACCTCAACAAATTCTCTAGTGCTATGAAAGCTACTCTTGCCTTTTGTATTCAAAATTTGTGTCTCTATCAGTTCCCCCATCTGTATTTACATTACTGCCCAAATAGGTGTACGACTCCACATCTTTGAGTATAGCTCCCTAAATGACAATTTTAAAAAAATGTATAAAATATACTAAAAGCTTATATGCATTCAGTCACCATGTGGGATTAATTAAAGTTTTTTGAATCAGCTTACCAGTTTTAATTTAGGTGAGAAAATATGGCATAGAAGAGGGAAATTGACAAGGGAAGGCTAACTCAGTCAACAAATGCTGGAAGGTAGTAGGGTGTTATGGTTGAAAGCCTTCAATATTGCAGTTCCCTGTATGAGTTCCTGTGGCCCCTGTTTTGGGGGGTGGGGTGGAATAGAGAGGGGGAGATTAGACTCACTGTCCCCTGACAAGCATGTCATACAAGGCAACTAGTTAGGGATGTTACTTTTAAAGTCAAAGTGCATCTGCATAAGTGACAAGGAACAAATAATCTGAAGTTCTGGGAAAAGACCAAATCCAGAAGTGGACAAAGAATCAGAACTTTCCACCAAATTTTACAACCGGTGAAGATGATGAAGAAGCTGAGTGGTTCTGCTTTTCGTTTGGTTTGATATTTTTTCATGATCCAAGAAGAAGAAGAAGACTTACATGCCTGGTTGCCAACTTGGTGGCTGTGTGTTTCAATTGCTTTTATTATATTACCTGGTCAGCTCCGCCTTTTATTATATTACCAGGTCAGTTCCGCCTTCAGTGGGTAATATTCTGGGACATGAGAACAGCCGGCATGATATTAAGCACATATAATCAATCTGTGGGTGATTGGTCTATAAAAATATGGCGCTAGCATCATATACTCAATATACTTAGTACACCTCAGGATGTAGAAATGTTTTTTGTTTGTTTATTTTTAACGTCTTTTTAAAAAAAATATATTACTATTTTTAAAAAAGTCAATTGAACAGACATGATTGCCTGTGCGGTTCGACAAGGCACTTAAAGAAGATAACTGTAATGTTTGTTTTTTATTACTTTTATTTCTTTTTATTATTTCTTCCTCCTCCTCCTCCTCCTCTTCCTCTGTCTTATTTGCTGACTGTGAACTCTGGTTGTTTGTTTGTTTCTGGACTTAAATCTTTTTTTCAGGACTAGAGTGTTGCATGCTCATCCATTTGACATATATATCTTATTGTCTGCACACTGGTATTGTCTGTCTTACCTGTCAGACAGGTGCACTCTGACTTCAAAGGAAATGGCAATCCTTTCTATCTACCTTTGCCAGGGAACCTGTTTCTAGGATGACTACAGTGAGGTGTAGAAAGGTCCTGACTAGTTCAAGCCCTGGTAAGGGTGCAGCATTGTAGGTAATTGCCCGCCTGTGCATCCCTATTTCAGCAAATATTTTCCCAACAGAGATGAGCTTTCAGCAAATAAATTAATGTATAAAAGGCACTTGTTGTACCGTGTTCTAAAACATTACATGCTTGCATTGTTAGTTTTGTGTGCCTGTGTTTTCAGTAAAGTGATGGACTGCCAGCACCGACTGGACCCTCTGCTGCCCCAGCTGGAGATGGCCTGCACTGAGATTGAGGCTGCAAGAAAACAGTTGGTGTCCATGCAGTGCAAGAGACAGGCAGATCTGTGGGCCTTGTTGAATCACACAGTGAGTCTCATTCTTTTCATGTCTCCTCCTTCTCATCATCATCATCATCATCATCATAGCAGGTCCTTTGCAGAACATACACTCTCATCATGACACCCTGGAGCCACTTGGGCCTCCCTGCCAATTGTCTTGCCTTGTGAACTTTCATGCCCAAAATGTTCTTGATATCATCTAAGTTTACTCAGGGGCCAACAATTTGAAAATGGGGATTGTCAAGGGCCATAAGCCTGAGCTCCAGCATAGAAAGATCATCAATACCATACAACTGGCAATGATCAGCGAGCCACTTGCTAGGCCTAGCGGGCTGCCACAAGTATAGCCCTGTCCTGGGTCCATTGTCATGCTGGTTGCCCTGGCCTTTTCTTCCAGAAACCATACTCTCCATTACCCTAATCTCCAAACCACTTCCTCTCTGGTCCTATTCTGCCTTTCAGCATCAGGTTTTGAAGAGGCATCAGGTGTTAGCCTTGGTATGTGCTATATCATCATCATCAAGTCTCTTTATACCTAGTGGCACATGAGGCTTCAGGGAGGACTTTCCATGCTTTCCTGTCCTGTGCAATCTTCAGTGCAGTTTTCCCTGTCAGAGATGCCGAATTCAGGTCACTCTCCATTGTTCGTCTCCATGTTGTTTTTGGGCGCCCCTTCCTTCTCTTTCCCTCAGGTGTCCATATGAGCTCTTTTGGCAGGTATATCAGGATTCATTCTTATAACATGGCCAAGCCATTTCCATCTTCTTCTGGTTATCATATTGTCTAGAGTTTCTTGGTTATGTGTTTAATAAAAACTTGCATTTACTGCTTTGGATATTCCATGTATCCGTCGCTTACGTGGTCGACCTCTAGTTCTGCTTCTTCTATGCCTCAGTGGCAGGGTTCTCTGTGGTTGACTATGGTGGGAGTCTTGACACATGTCCAGACCATTTGCTCTGTTGTCTCTTGTTTTAGTTTAGCACTGGTTCTATCCCAGCTTGTTTCCCCATTTTGTCATTTCTTATCCTGTTTCTTCTAGTTACAATTAGAATTCACCATAGACATTTCAATTCTATTGTTTCAATTTTTATTTTTATTTAGCTATTAATGTCCATGTTTGGCACTGGTAACAAAATTTTGGTAAAAATACTGAATTTTATATTGCTCTTCTGGTGTCAGTTGTGAATGTTTATTCTGCATAGTTGGTGACATCTGTCCAGTAATTTGATTTGTTTTATTATAATGCATCTGTGTTCAATCTCTGCTTCCATTTCCGAACCATTGTGCTGTTTAATATGGCTGAAGTATTTCACTTTGATACTGTCTGTGAGCTAGTTCTCCAGTGAACAATCTCAGTATTTTTTCTTCTTGGTTCATGGGGCTTTAAGCCTATAGTGCTTACTAGTAATCCTATAACAACTACCAAAGCAGGCACTACACATGAAAAGATCCGAAGTGAAAGCATGAGGCCACCCTAAGAGAACATGGATTGATGGCATTAAAGAGCTTCTACATCGACACGGAAGGACAGTAGCCATTGCTGCCTGTCAAGCAATGGATCACAAACTGTTCCTCCCCACAACGCTTAATGGCAGAAGTGGAAATTGAAAGTGATGACTAATCCTATATTTTTATACTGGTCAGGGCTTAGTGGGTGATGTGATCAGTATAATACCACTGCTAATACTGCACAGAAAGTTTATACACTATTGTTTTAAAAACATGTTTTCTTCCATGATTATGTGTTTTCAAAACATTTAACTTTACGTCATTCTTTTACAAATGTTTTTCCCCCATGATTTTGTGTTTTCAAAACGTGTAACCATACACCATTGTTTTAAAAACATATTTTCTTCCACCATTGTATGTTTTAAAACCATGTAACAAAACTATCCTTATCTGTTTAAAAGCCTGTAACCATTCATCATCTGTTTTTAAAATGTTTGATCATCTGTCATTTGAAAACATAGAATTCTCATTTAATTTTATTATTAATCAGTGATTAAAGGACCTTTTTAGCGCACACTGGCACATTAGGTAATGATGCTGAAATCATTTTTATAGACAATTCGGCACTAGGTGGGTGATGTGGTCAGCATCACACTGGTCTCCTTTACTTCCCAGGACATTACATTGTACTCATTTAAAACTGGGTTGTAAAGGTCAATTTACAAAAAAAAAAATCTGACTTTGTGCAGATTTGCACCGAAGACTTTCAGGCTGACAGGTGAGCATCTAGCCTATACACCACAGCGGCTTTTATTTTGTGTTTTGAAAAGCACATATTCTTCTAATATTGTCTGAATTAAAAACATTAATTTTTCCATTTTTGTTTTAAAACATTAATTCTTCCGTCTTTTTTTAAAAGCATGCATTCTTACATCTTTGTCTGTTTTAAATCATCCATATAATTATAGGTCAATGGGACCAGTAATCCCGAGGAAGACACTAATGCTCTGAACACAATAACTCTTACATCACCATCACCCAGCTTTGTCCAGAACACTGCCATGCAGGAACTACCCTCGATGGAGTCAACTTTAGAATCTATCAGACTGATGGATGACTGCAAAACAAATTCGCAGAGGTATGCATTACTGCTTTGTGAAATTAGAAAACAAATTGACAGAGATATGCATTACTGCTGTGTGAAATTAGAAAACAAATTCACAGAGGTATGCATTACTGCTGTGTGAAATTAAAAAAAACAAATTCACAGAGGTATGCATTAATTCTAGGTGAAATTAGACAAAAAATTCACAGAGAAATGCATTACTGGCATATGAAATTAGAAAACAAACTCACAGAGGTATACATTTCTGCTTTGTCAAATTAGAAAACAAATTCACAAAGTTGTTTATTACTGCCGTGAAGAATTATAAAACAGATGTCAAGAGTGCAGAATAGAAAGAATGAAACAAAATGTGTCCTATTTCTAGACATAATCTCCCTGCCTTGCAACACACATAATCCACCTGCAACACATGTAATCCACCTGCAACACATGTAGTCCACCTGCAACACATATAGTCTGCCTGCAACACATGTAGTCCACCTGCAACACATATAGTCCACCTGCAACACATGTAGTCCACCTGCAACACATAAAGTCTGCCTGCAACACATATAGTCCGCCTGCAACACATATAGTCTGCCTGCAACACATGTAGTCCACCTGCAACACATGTAGTCCACCTGCAACACATATAGTCTGCCTGCAACACATGTAGTCCACCTGCAACACATGTAGTCCACCTGCAACACATGTAGTCCACTTGCAACACATATAGTCTGCCTGTAACACATGTAGTCCGCCTGCAACACATATAGTCCACCTGCAACACATGTAGTCCACCTGCAACACAAATAGTCTGCCTGCAACATATGTAGTTCACCTGCAACACATATAGTCTGCCTGCAACACATGTAGTCCACCTGCAACATATGTAGTCCACCTGCAACACATATAGTCCACCTGCAACACATGTAGTCCACCTGCAACACATAAAGTCTGCCTGCAACACATATAGTCCGCCTGCAACACATATAGTCTGCCTGCAACACATGTAGTCCACCTGCAACACATGTAGTCCACCTGCAACACATATAGTCTGCCTGCAACACATGTAGTCCACCTGCAACACATGTAGTCCACCTGCAACACATGTAGTCCACTTGCAACACATATAGTCTGCCTGTAACACATGTAGTCCGCCTGCAACACATATAGTCCACCTGCAACACATGTAGTCCACCTGCAACACAAATAGTCTGCCTGCAACATATGTAGTTCACCTGCAACACATATAGTCTGCCTGCAACACATGTAGTCCACCTGCAACATATGTAGTCCACCTGCAACACATATAGTCCACCTGCAACACATATAGTCCACCTGCAACACATATAGTCTGCCTGCAACACATGTAGTCCACCTGCAACACATATAGTCTGCCTGCAACACATGAAGTCCACCTGCAACACATGTAGTCCACCTGCAACACATGTAGTCCACCTGTAACACATGTAGTCTGCCTGCAACACATGTAGTCCACCTGCAACACATGTAGTTCACCTGCAACATACGCAGTCCACCTGCAACACATATAGTCCACCTGCAACACATATAGTCTGCCTGCAACACATGTAGTCCACCTCCAACACAAATAGTCCGCCGATCCACTGGATTGTGAATGCCTGCCAGGTAGAAGTTTGAGTGTGGCCAGTAACCAAATTTAAACCACTGACATCTCATTGTCATCTGCAAATCGTTGACCCTGCAAATATTTTTTCCGTGGCTCAGACAAATGAAAATCTGATAATGCCAAGTCTTGGCTGCATGCTGGATGTGTCACTATTTCAAGCCATGGAGTCTGTAGTGTATTCACTATATGTAAAGCCACGTAGGGGTGGGCATTGGTGTGCAGCAACAAAAACTTGTTGCTTTTCCAAGGTGCATTTTAACAGTGCTGTGGCCACCTTGTACGAGCTGTTTCCCTTACACATGTTGCTATATCGTCATGACACATACTTTGGGTAATGTAAAGAGGCCATTTTGTGTCCTGAAATAATATTTTTTGGTTCTGTTCACGTTTTCAGGTCCAGGATTAGAGTAACTTCCCTTGCCATTCATGCCTTCTTAAGTTGCTGGGCCTCTCCTATGTTACGGGGGAGTCATGATTTCCTTATTGTGAGCAGTTTAACAGTTGCCTCTTTTCTCATCTTCTCACCGCTTGCGTGTTTATTTTCACATTCTGCTACCTGCGTGACAGTTCGGGAGTATGGAAACAGCGGTATTTTTCTATTCCTACACTCCTTGTAACATGCTTTCTTTCTCTTGGGGGAAGCCTCTGCCAATGAACGTAGAAATAAAAAAACAGTTTCGATAGCCAAGAATCGTCAGTACTTCATACTTGTGCACAGGCCCCTGAAATAGACTCACAACCTCCCCCAAACATTACATACGCCGAGCGAACACCAAACCAGGCCATATCATAACACCCCCGCAACATAAGAGAGGTCCGGTGACCTAAGGAGGCATTAATGGCAAGGGAAGTTACTCTAATCCTGGGCCTGAAAACAGGAACAGGACCTATTTTCCATCTGCATACCTTTCCATGCAGACTAGGGATACAGTTGCCAGTACTATTCGGCCTCTTCAGGTGCAAAATTTTGTAGGGAATTTCCCAGGTCAGTCCTATAGTCTAGTTGTGTTTTGACATGCCTTCCAGTGTGCTACAAAGTGTTTTGACTTCGTTTAACTGGGTTGACACTGTCTCCCAGAAAAAAGTGCACAGCCTTCTTTTCTCCCCAGACAAAAGTCAGCAGCTGTCTTTTCTGTGAACAACTGTTCAAGGGTTAGAGTTAAAGTTAGCTGCAGGAATACTGACATGTCAAGGAAATTATTGGCGAAGACCAAGTCACGAAGTAAGAAAAGCTCTTCTAAACAGGGCAGAGTAAGGGTGAGGAATGTACGAAAGTAACATACACTGGAAATGATGATGCAGTAAATGCTGACAACCCTGAAAAGAACAAACACATGACACACCTAGAATATGAGTTTTAGGGTTAGCCTTAACAGTTTTCAACATCAAAGGCTCTTTTAACACAAGTAATTGAGGAAAACCCTGGATGTTAATTAACATGGCTCATAAGGAAAGTAAAGAATAGTGAAACTTTAATCTGCCAGACATATCATGAGAAGTGACTAAGAAAGGCAGGCTTGGAACTGACTACTTCAGCCTTAGAACAGGTTAGCTCCAAAATCTTACCATTGTGAACAAGACCACCAAATTTGATGGATTTTATGTCTGCCTTTTAGGCTTTGTTGTGATGTATAGGCGGCTTCAAGTGAAAACCTTGAAAGTATTATATGAATGACAATAACCATGCCAGTCTTGTAATCTTGTGCATGTCAGAAATGGGGCGGCCATTTTTAAACTGTCAGTATGATGTCACCAGGTTTGTCTGCACTATGATATCATGTCCTTACACTCTTGACATCCCTAACAGCAATATTGACAGGTTACAAGACAGTGGCAGGGTTATTATAATTTCAGTTGCACTTTAAAGCTTTTTATTTGAAGTCTCTCTTACAAGGAAAAGATTGAAGAAATAAAAACATGTTGATGAAAAAATTTAATCTATAAAACTATTATCAGTTGCTTCCCATTGTTTGAACAGGTTGCAAGACATGGTGACTACAATGATTAAAGAACAAGAAGAAAGTATGCTCTACTTCTCATCCTTGGACAGCACCAGATGAGGTCATCCCTGCCGGATATTAGAATTAAAGAATTTGTTTGTCAGCATTCACCGCCTGTGAACCCCGGTGGAAAGACCTGGTTGTTCGTCCATTTCTAGACTTTGGCTTTGTTCCAGGACCTGAGTTTCTGGTGCATCCGTTCTACAGATCTGGCTTATTTGTATGCAGACTGTTTGTTCCTTGCCTCTCAGGCAGATGCACTCCGACTTTGAAAGAAGCCCCTCAATTGGTATACTCTTACGACATGCTTGTTGGGGAGGCAGTGGATCCATTCTTGTTTTCCCCATAATGGGGCTAACAAAATTTGTTTTACATACTAATATCTCATTTGATTCAATGTACTTTAGTGTCTGAGAAATTGTCTTTTCAGCTTACCATAGGTGGTCATTTCTAAAATGAATTTATTCATTGGGTTTTGCTTTGGGTATGTCGTCTAATGTCTTGTTGATTGTGTTTTAATTATGTTACTTGCTTTGAAATCTTCTTCTTTTGTTTATCGTTCACCGGCTGTAAACTCCAAAGAAAATTATGGTTGTTTGTCCACTCCTTGACTTTGGTCTTGATACAAAACTTGTTTTGTGTGCATCCATTTGACAGATCTAGCTTACTTGTATTCCAACTGTTGGTTCCTTGCAGATGCACCCCAACTTTAAAGGAAACACCCCTGATTAACTGCCCCTACAGCAGACTTGTTAGGGAGGCAGTAAGTTTATTCTTTCTTCTCCAAAATTGATCCCTGGAATCAACACGAGGAGGCTTGCTTTGAAATTAAACTTGGCATTCATGGTCTTCTGTACCATTTTGAACCTATTTTTTGTTTCACTACTATTGTACTAGGGAAGATTGTACAAAGAAGATTGGCTAATAAACAGCATCCTGTCTCGGAAGCTGAAATATTTGGGTCATATCAAGCGCCACGACGGGTTGGAAAAAATAATAGCAGAAGGCATGGTACCAGGAAGGAGAGGCAGGGTCTGACTGACCCGAAGATGGGCACAGGATATAAGTGACTCCTTGAGTGTGAAAGTACATGAGGCGGAAGAGCTGGCGAGAGACCGAGTTTCTTTCAGGCAGACTGTGATGAGAGCGACGTTCTGCAAAGGACCTGCTACGTGATGATGATGATGATGATGAGTATTGTACTGGTTTCTTTGCAGTGACTGTTTAGCATTGTCTGTACACCATAGAACAGTCAAGGGATGTGATCAAACAATTTCAACAGCAATCTTCAGATTAGTTAACCTGATAATTGTATTCTTCTTCTTCGTATTCACCAGCTGTAAACTCTGGCGGAAAGTTCTGGTTGTTCATCCATTTCTGGACTGCAGTCCTGTTCCAGAACCTGAGTGTTGCATGTGCATCTGTTTAACAGATCTGACTTATTTGTATGCAAACTGATGGTTCCTTGTCTGTCAGGCAGACGCAATCCGACTTCGAAAAAAGCTCCCAATTCGTCGACTCTTACAACATGCTTTTGGATAGGCAGTGGGTCTATTCTTGTTTTCCCTATAATAGGGCCCCGGAACCCACACGGGGAGATAATTGTATTATGTTGTTGTGACCAGTTTTTTTTAATTAATTCCCCCCCCCCCACTTTTAAGTAACTAAAGTAAAGGACCATTTCCACTCCTTGAGGCGTATTGGGCATATAGGGCTAGACCTATATTTTATAGACCAGTCAGCACTCAGTGATGTCAACATCACGCCGCTCCCACTTTTTATTAACAGAAGATGCAGGAAAATTCATGGGATTATCTGGTGCTATTTTTATATTGACTGCTAGATTGACCTGGTATCTGTAAGGGGCATTGTGGATTAGAGTAGGATCTTTCTTCACACTTTTCTGCCTTTTACCTCCCAGTGGAGCACAGGCCTCGTCCCACAATAAGTGGTTCAGAGAAAGACCTTTCTCATGGCTTTCAGACAGCGGTACAAGAGTTGCATCATGGAAGAGATTGGGGCCTCATGTCATAATATTCCCTTAATTAGCAGCGCCCTGTCTGATGCCAGTCTTGTCACATGGCCAAACACTCTGTGGTTTACTGATAAAATTAAGCATTGGAGTCGGCACAGAACCAATATTTAACTTAATCTGTAGACAGCAATTCAAATGGTTTGGCCATGTAAAAAGACTGGCCTCAGATAGGATACCTGAGAGAGCAGTGTTATACAGATATAGTGGTACCATAGCCAGAGGTCGACCAAACAGAAGAGTGACCTCAGAAATATCAGAGATGCTAAAAAGTACGAATGTATGAAGCAAAAAGAAGGATCTGTTCCAAAAATCACTTCTTGCCCTTAAACTGCGAAGCATTCCACGAGTAGAGCAAAGAAGAAGACGTTAAATACATCGCAGTCAACTTCCATTGTGGAGACAGCACAACTTTTTGTTTTGTTTAGTATAGTATTAGAAGTTGTCGCAGATGGCTTGGTTTATTCATGAAATGCTTTTGCTGCAGTTTTAGTTTCTGGTACACTGCTTTACATTTACATGTATTTGTTGTAGGTAAAACATTTTTAAAGCTGTAAATTTGTGAAATAATCTTTGTGTATCTATAAAATGTATTCTTAAAATAATGAGTTAGCTTGTGTACCAAAATGTTAATTTGTGATAATCTGTTTTTAATGAAATATGTTTGTAATTTTGTGTTCTGTTTACATTTATTGTAAAATATAGACCAGTGGTTCCAAGTTAGCTAAGACCCGCATACATTTTAATAGCAATTTTGATGAAGAACTTATTTTAGTGTTTAAAATATTAGAACTGCAAAAAAGGATTGCATTTTTTTTACTCGCATGCATTGGCCGTAAACTCTGGAGGCAAGTTCCGGTTATTCCTTTCCTCAGGACTTTAGTCTTGTTCCAGAACCTGAATGTTGCGTACACATCCATTTTACAGATCTGACTTAACTCTATGCAGATTGTTGGTTCCTTTAGCTCTCAGGCAGATGCACTGAGACTTCAAAGGAAGCCCCTAATTCAAACAACCATGCTGCCATTGTCTCGTAACCTGTCAGTATTGTTGTTGAGGATGTCATGTATGTTAAGCATGTGACATCACATAGGATGTAGGTCATTTCAGGACAGTGTAACCTCTGTGACATACTGTTCATGATTGAGTGCCTGACGTTTTGCAATGGTCTTTAGCAACCCCTGTGAAAGGGTCTTGGCCCACAGTTTGAGAACCACTGGTTTACACTGTGATGTAACATGCTGAACACTTGACCATGATTATAAAGATAGAAGACTGACTGACCAGTTGAGTTAGTTAATCGACTGGTCATCCTCGTTGCACATCGGGCAAGTCCATAAGCAGCTTGCATCCTATATTCAATATCCCTCAGTGTGAGGTAACTGATAACACCAGTTCTCTGTTGGTTTACTATTCTTCTTTGGTTACCTGTATATTGTGATATCAACATCTCTTTTGCATGAAATTCTTGTAATCTTGACAAGGTTGCCAACTCACTGTATTCTCCTGAATGATCTACTCACCCTATCTTCTTCAAAGCACCACAATTAGTCTGGTTCATTGTTTTTCCTGTTGCCCAGCCAGCAAGCCAGTCTTCTCAATAATATTCTTTTCTGTCTGAGTGTCCTGGCACAAAATTAAAACTGGTTCTGTCACAAGAATTTCCTCAAAGACTCCAACCATTGTCTTTGAACCCACCCTGTATTGAACTTCTTAAGCATGTTCATGAAATCAGTTAGCATGGATGGGGGAAAAGCAGTGTCTCTAGCCAGAATACACAGGTTTGAGGTTTTGAACAATGGATCAACACCATGGCACATGGATAGTAACCCACCCATAAGTGCTCTGTTCTTCTTCTAACTCAAGTCTGAGTCCAAAGAAGCTCAGCACAGTGCACAGGCTCTGTAGCACCAGGATCCTGAAATACTTTGAGTAGATTTTTAACTCCAAATTAGGCGCCATTAGGCTACTCTTTTTGATTTCCATATGCTAAGGGATTCTTTTAAATGCGCAACAATGCGTCCGATCTCACTACACAGAGACCAGGGGGAATTACTAGAAGTCCAAGTGAAAAATCCCAGCCCTTACTGGGGATTGAACCTGGAACCTCTAGCACTAGAGGCGGACACCATGCATCAAGACCATGCAGCCTTTAGTCATCCAGTAGATAGCCCTGCTCTCCTATATAGTACACAGTCATCCAGTAGATAGCCCTGCTCTCCTATATAGTACACAGTCATCCAGTAGAGCAGGGCTATTCATCTAAGTTTTCTCAGGGGCCACAATTTGGACAATGGGAATTGTCTTGGGCCAGAGGCCTCAGCCCACTTATAGAAAGATCAGTAATATAATAATACAACTGGCAATGATCCGCTGGCACCTGATAGGGCCTCCTTAGGCAGCCAGTTAAATAGCACTGCAGTAGAATATCTTGGTTCAGCTACCATTTAGGAAAGATTCCTGTCTGACCAGATCAAGGCCGTGGAATTGATCAGCCTCAGAACACAGGAGATTTCACTGGAAAGAAAATATGTCCAGGAAGGAATCTAGTCACTGCATTTTATGATACTATCTAATATATGTTTATTTATCACAGCCCGCCCCTGTGGCAGCAACTGCCACTCTATCACGGGATAACTTTTGTGCTGAATATCATTTCGAAGCATAACTCTAGAACCATGTGTGTAAATAATTTGTCAAACTGCACATATGACTGTTAACTGGTCTCCAATATTTGAAAAGTGCACTTGTACTTGTATATGCCTGTTCAGACCCATTCAGTCTCTAAATGTGATTTCCCCAACTGTTAAAATTGCATTGATATGCTTGTTAGATCAACATTGAAACATTCCAAACCAATTTTTTGTGTGTTTTGATTTTTCAATTGAAATGTTAGCAAGGTTAGGAACAATTGTTTACATTTTAGTTTGTGTTAAACTTTACAATTAAGTTTGTGTTCAACCTACCTATCTTAATGAACCCAGTCAAGTTATACAGCAGGTTTCTTCGTAACCATAATGTGCCATAA